CCAGCTGGTAATTCACAAGAGCTCTGCTAGACCTAAAATCCAAGAAAACAGTGCATTTTGGCAAATGCCATCTGCTGTCACTATCAACGAGGGATTTCTCTATATAATGCACTGACTATGCAGCATCTTCTGCAACACACACGATATTCTGTAATTCGTGTAATACATAATCACATTGTCTAGAGGAATGTTATAGGAAGTGTTTCAGTCTGAAATGAAGCATCTTTGTGAACCAGGCTGAAAGCAGAACTGAAAACCGTTGTCCAAAAATGATGTAGAATACAAATTTTGTTTTATGGTCTGAGACTCTTTCCAGGCCCTCAAGTGAATCTGTTCATGCAGACAGCAGCAGACACATGCAATGTTGTTGCTCTCAGCTTGTGCACAGGTGTAGGAATCCACTGAGGTTCAGAGGTAGTCTGGGAGTTTGCCTTAACCTTCTTCACAAAAGAATTTTTGCAAACTAAGAAACTAAGAAAACTGCCAGGGTCAATGAAACACAACTAGAAAACAGCCTGAACAGTCAGCTTGAACTCCAGTGCTACCCTGATACACAAGTGAGTGTTCACAGTCATTAATCTCTTAGGAAATTAGCTATGGTTGTTTACATGTTGCCAGGAATTCTGGGGCCCTTCTCATTAACCTGAAAAAGAGAAGGTTACATAGTCTTGTTTACATCTGACACTCAGGACACTTTTAGGGAACAATTCACCAGGCAGTTTGTTGCAAATAAAGCCCACCACTGTAATATTTTCCACCCTTTTTACACTCACTGAGCCATGTATTAAAGGCAAACCCTCATATGCATCATTGTGATATAGTAGATCTCAGCTTGTAAAAGGTAGGAAGTGGTAGCCCAACACTCTTCATGAGCCAGCACCCATCTGCACTTTAGCCAGTGGGACAGACTGACCCATCTGAATGTGCACCCGGTAAATGTCTGACAAGATGGAGGCAGGTACTGGATATGTGCTCAAAGTGGTACCAAGGAAAAAGTTTTGCTGGAGTAAAGTTCAAATAATATTAGATAAAATCAAATAATTTCTCAGCTGGCAGCTAAGGAACTCACCTACAATTGGTCTGCTGAACAAGATATACGTATGTAAGTATGGCATAGACCGGGCAAGATGGTGTAGATAAAATGTGTTAGATGCTCTGATTCTGCCTCCTTCACAAGGTCTGTAAGGCTGTGGATGTAATCCCTGCTTACAGGACTTCAGAACACTAAGTCTGGCAGACCAACTTTATTTATTCTTCGTGCATTACCCTAAGCAATGTTGGGAGCCACTGCAGCCACACTTATTTTGGGGAAGACTTTGAGCTGCAGTTGTAAAACTGACTGCTGCCCAGGATAGTTGATCCAGAGTTGAGGATCTGCTGCCATAACACATCTGCTCTAATTTGTGGGTTTCATGACATCATCTTGGTCATGACATTTTCTGTACCTGCCACGACTGGAACAGGCCTGGTAATATCTTCAAAGGAAAAGTGTTGCTTCAGCCACATCTGCAGCAGTATTGTGCACGGGGAGGAAAACCCTTCAATGTGGGGAAAAAAATGAAAGGAACGTGCTAAGAGCAAAAGAACCAGAGGCTCGCAAGTCACAAATTCAGTGTGAAAAGCTGTCCGTTAGTGCCATCTTGTGGGGCCAGAGCCACCCCCCCTCCACGCCAAAGAGGCCAAGCTCTTTCCACCAACTTGCAACCCTACCTCATGCCAACCTGCCATGTAGCACAGGGACTTTCCATCAGAGGATAAGCCTGAAGCTATGGCAGGTATCTGACAGCCCACCTGCAGTCACCTGAGCAAACAAGAACTGTGTGTTGGGGAGAAGCAGCAGCCCAGCACCCACCTGGGACTCTCTGATCCTGTCTGCCACATCTGAACAGAAACCAGGCTGCCAAGTCCACACAAGCAATGAGCAAGGAGACTGTCCACATGTCTAGTTACAACTGAGCAAGAGGATTTTTGCCATCCCTTCAGTGGCGTATTTCATTGTGAAATGCTTGTGTCCTCACCAAATACCTGAAACAGTATTAGCTACATGTAGGACTTCAGGATGGGGCAACTCGCTTAGACTAGCATATCCCTCAAGGTGAGGTGTCGTGTGGGGAAGCTGGGAGGAGCCCAACATCTTTCCCCCTGCTTAGGCCCTATCCTGGGCTCTTCTGAGGCAAGAAGCAGCCCCTGAGTCAAAGCTAAGTGTGAAATTTGGGCAGATGGGTGGGCAGGCAGACTGCTTTCTGGCCTAATTTGGCTTCCGGTGTTGAGGAGAAAGGAGACAGGAGAAAGACAAAAGCGAAGTCAGCAATGGCAGCAGTGGGTCATCTATCATGAATTACACAGATGGGATAAAACTGCTGTCTTGGGAGCTGCCTTTCATGTTTCTCCTGGGTGCTTGTCACCTTCATATCTTGTGTCCAAGCCTGTGCAGATGGGAGGGAGGAGATGCAGCTCAGAAGCTGAAGGTGGGAGGACAGTGATAGAGGTTGAGGTGCACAGAGGACCGCACTGGGAATCAACATGCCTTACAAATACCCACCTCAACTCTGTTCAGGTTTCCACAAGTAGTCTTGAATTTCTTATACAGATTTACATGACAGGATCCTGCATATACTGAGACTAGCAGGAGTCCAAATTTCCTACATTCAGTCTTGTGTCTTGCGCTATGGTTGTGACTTTACCATGACTTTACTGCAGTATTGTACATCTTAGAAATGGACATGATCTTTGGTTAAAGATGTTGAGAAACAATGAATCCACCACATCCTTTGGTGCGTTGTTTCAGTGGTTAAACACTCACACAGTTAAAACCAGCTACACCTTATTTCAGAACTTAGTAAGTCTAAGTCTGTGCTTCAAGTATTTGGTAACCTTGTGCTTTTACTTATGATTTAATCTGTCTTTGCTAGGTTAAAGTATTGCAAACAGGTAAGATTTTTGTTTCTGTTATGTAAGCCAAATATCAGTGCACTGCACAATTAAGTGTCTTTCTGTATAGCCACAGAAGTACAACACAAGCTTCTAAAATCAATCCACATACATTTTGATTGGAGGGGCAGAAGAGGTGAGGACCTACCTTTTTCCAAAGAAAGTTCTAACACTGTCAGTTCCCATGCTTAATCCTGTGGCTGAAATCTGTCTCTTCCTATCAACAGATATTATGATTCCTTCATTTCTTCTCTGCCTGAATTTCCTTCACTTTTTCTTACCCTTTGTGCTCTTCTCTTTCAGTTCTGTATGGTTCTCCCAGCTGCAGCTATAATATCTCACCTGGTTGCCAGAAAGCAAACGCTAATATTTATACTTAGGGTAAAAAGGTAATACAGAACGTAAAAAGTATTTACTTAAGGAGGAAAGTGAATCTAAACACACTGAGTAGGTAAGCATTTCACACAAAACAGACTCTAAACCCAGAGTATATTACCAGCCTTCTAAATAACATGAAGTTAGTGTGCAATGGGTGACAGATGTGGAGTAACTAAACTGTGCAGTTTCTTGACAAATTTATGTACGTTATGGCATTTGATTTGTTTTATTTACATATGCTCACATAGTGAAGGCATCTCAACTGGAAGACCACTGTTCTTTGTAGGAGTTAAACTGTGTTTTGTGCTACAGCAGGATCCAGATTCAGTTCTATAATGTCAGAAGCATTCTTGTGTCTATTTTGTAGTAGTTGTCCACATTTTATGGGACGCTACACTCAAAATGAAATAATGACAACACAGTTATGACCTTTTTATTTTGGCACGTGTTTACTGACTTAAAATCTGAGTCTGTTTTCAGTGCTATTTAACATGTTTCAGATTTATAAGAGTACACATCTTTTATCTTAAAGAAGTGCTAACTCAAACCCTGGAATTTTCCTTGAAAGAAGCATCTATTACATAAAATTTTATCCCTGTACAAGCAAGTAGGAGTTAGAGCAAGGAATAACTATCAAAGTCAGTGAATTTCATCAAACATATCAGGCCACCATTCACATCTCTCCACATAAATTAATTTTGTCTTTATTAATAGCCCGGCCTGCACCCACTTGAAGTAAAATGCAAAATCTGAAATTGAATGCAGTTGACTGGAAGTATAGACAACCCATATGATGATACAAGCTGATAACAGAAGTATGAGAAAAAGTAGATTTATAGGTATCATCCTGCCATAAGAGGTTAGTACTCTCTTTTTATTTAAATTTAATCCTTCTTCCCCAAGAAGAGAGTGTAAAATCATTGAATCTTTCAGCTACATTCCCATGTAGGAAAAGGGCTGGAGAAGTGAGATTGTATTTAATATGTATAAGGTTATAACTTCAAAAATAAATAACAAAGCTATGTGTGTTAGGTGAGTAAAGAACTGCTGGATAGAAGTGCAGCTTCTCGTATTAGTGGAGGAAGAACTGTAAATAACTTCATGAAAAGCCTAATCCTTTACTAACCCTCTCATGGTATGGTCATTTTCCCAATGAATCTACTGCCAACAGTGAAATGTGCACCTGGCAATGCTAGTACCATATGTCAGGATCTGTGCTAAGAAATGTTAATTTAAGTGATTAAGGATTAACAGCTTGGCCAACAGGTGCACCTTCATGTGGACTTCATCATTCAGCCAGGCATTCACTGAGAAATTGTCTCTTAATAAAGAGGATTGACAGAAAAAGCAGTCAGTAGCTTCATGCAGTTGGCAAATCTCTTCGTAATTCACATACACCCAACTGATAGGGAGCGCATGCGCACTAAACTCCAATTGGAAATGTTTGGGATGTGCATGAAATTACCAGTAAGTGTTGTCAGGATGGGATCTTTGATGTCCACTAACAGACATAAGCCTTGATCCTGATCTTGGATATACCAGCTTGAATCTGAAGTAATTGCTGTGATTAACATCATGGAGAATAGAACATGCCCTACAGCTGCTGGTTTTCTTCAATGGTCAATGACCATTTATCAGTACATTCAAAAGGAACAAAATTAGGCCGCTATAATTTTTAAAACCCTTCTCTTCAGGTTTTTGCATGATATCTTAATGGAAAAGCTATGTACAGAGAGGAGTTCCTGTGTTGGAAAGTATTACCAGCTAACAAAGACCTGGTTATGTGAAAGCTATGCCTAGCTGTTAGCATGATGTAATGCATAACCACTGTTATACATGTAATTATTGTAACTCATCCAGTCGTCTGTGCACTGATATTCTTGATTAGACTGAATGTAGGGATGATAAACTGTTTCTTTCCCCAAGAAATAAGACGGAGCAAGTCTCTGGAGAACAACAGCACTGAACTGGTATGTCAGCTTCCTTCGAATTTTAATGATTTCACCTGTTCTTCCATAATTCCTCAGTGCTCTGGCCATTTTCTGATAAGTCATGATCTTGCGGTTTCCCTTTCTTTCTCCCCACAGCTCTGCAAGTTTCTCCTTGTTTTTGGAGACAAACTGGAAGACACCATTTGGCTTATCAACCCATTGGATGCAGTTTGCCATAGCTGGATCATACAGAGACTCATGGAGGTACTCAAACAGTCGAAGTTTTTTTCTACCTATTAAGAAATAAAGTACAAAAGGTCAGAACAGAATTCATATGTGTTTTAAAAGATGAGCAGTGGTCTTTTTGTGGAAAGGATCTCACAGGTGTAGGTGAACCTAATACCTTGTCACAAATTAAAACATCAATATAAACTGTTCAGTGGAAGACCAGCAACAGCAAATGGGATGGTAGCTCTGAATCATGCATAGATCTGTGGTGACACAAAGGGATTTGGTCATTAGAGTTTGGAGAGCAGGTTATTTGTGGATCATGACAAATATGTGGTGACTGCACAGTGCGGTAGGTTTCAGAAGCCACCTTCACCAGCCTTCGGACACATGCTGTGCAGGTGTACAGTCAAGGAACCTACTGCAGGAAATCACATCCTCGGGCAGTGAAGGAAAGAGGTTCTGGAGAGCCAATATGAATATTTTTTTAATAAATGCTTTCCCTGCTTAATCAAACCCCTAAGATTTTCAGATAACTCGGTTTCATCTCAGGAGTGTTTTAGGAATGCTATAAGAAAGGGTGATTGGGTGAGTGAGAAGAGTAAGATAGTTTTGAATCATAAGCCACATCCAGTCAATAAGGAGCTAGACCTTCTGGTAACCTATAGTTTTCTGAAAACGTATAGAAGTGTCAGCTTGCATTTTCATGCACAATAAAGCAAGCTCAGTACTGTGATATTTGTCAGTTAACTAAGTGCTTCTCCCCACAGGCTCACCTCTCAAACTCAAGTTTACTAGTAAGGCTTATTTAGTTTCACTTAGGTCTTGTGGACCGCCCCCCCCATCTCTCTGAAGGACTTCTTGTTCCCTTCACAAAGCCAAGAGTGACCAAGAAGCTGCTGTAAGGAGGAAGAATTTAAGATTATGAGACAAAGAGGAACATTTTGCAGAAAGAAGAGTCTATGCAGAAGAGCAGCTTCCACTTTAACCAAAGTGGAAACAAGCAGCTTCACCTAAAGTTCATGAAGTCTTATCTTGCATGGCTATTTTAAACTAGGAATGGGGGAAAAGTGACAGTTGCTAAGGAACAGAGGTCAAGCCAAGACATCTGTTAAGGGTGACAGTAATTCTACATCTGGATGTTAAGTAAAGAGGAGAGAAGTGACAGACTAGGAAGAAGAAGAGCCTGAAATCAGAGGTACTTTCCAAAAAATTAATAAAGTTTCATTATCTAAATAAAAATTGGCCTCTGACAAGAAGTACATATTCAGCTAGAAATACATACAGTGTCACCAAGATAAGCAGCTTAAAAACAAACTGGTGAAGGACATGGCCTGATCTCAGTGAACACTTCTTAATAGATGACTTCCTTAGGTCCCCTCCAACCTGAATTATTCTATAAATCTATAAACCTATGAACCTATAGTAGAGCAAATAAGATCAGGGGAAAATCTACAGGCTACAGCAGACTGAGTCTCTGATGGAAAATTATAGTGTAGCCCTGTCTGGAATAGCATCTGATTTCATGCTGTCTGTCCTCTTAGTTCAGCTGTCTTTTCTGCCCAAGCTTTTATTTCTAGATGCATTGCCTATAGTTGATTTCTTAGTTTAAGAGGGCTTATTCGATCTTACATGTTAATACAGCTACGTTTCCGGAGCTCAGCTGTTATTTCCAAAGTGCTACACAATGTGGGTGCACCAGCTTGAGCTAGGGTTATTTCGCAGATCTTTGTACTGCGTGTCATTGCGTAAGGTAGTGGTGTTCATTACCAGGCTCTAAACATCAGTCTCAGCTAGCAGGCTAGTGTCTGCAGGTTTCATATGTGGTCACTGGAGAGAGGCAGGTTCCTCCAGAAGGTTTTTCAGAGTGTCTGCATTAGATTTCTGTGCTGAATTGTCCTGAAGTAGCCTAATTTTTCCTGGGTGTGCCTAATTCAGACGCACTTCTAAGTACCTCTCTTGATTGTCTCCTCTCAATGAGCTTTAGTTCAGATCATGGAATGGCCTTGATGTGCACGAACTGGACTCCTTCTAGAGTAACCTAACTCAAAGATGCTTTCCAGAAGCACGTCTGAGTCACTGCAGTCTTCAGAGCTTGCAGTCAGCCTAAAGATTGCCCTAAATAAACTCCTATGAAACACTTTAAACACAGACTTTGGGTCAGTTCTGGTTGTTTCATCTATAGATCTATTCTAAAGGGACACATTACTTGCTAATGTACAGAAAATCTCTCATGTCTCAATAAGAAGCCAAGTGGACTAAATTTATTTAGGCATACTGGAAATAATTTTCCAAATGACAGCTTTCGGCAGGAACATCACCATGGGCACAAAGAAACCCATAAAAGGACACAGAAAATCCTCAAAAGTATAGTCAGTCATGCTGAAAATTTATGCAGTATGGTCCTCTGGAAAAGAAGATTGATAAAATGTTAAAAAAAATGAAATATGAAATAATTCTAAAAGAGCAGTAACAACTGAAGGTGAATTCAGATACTGACATCTAGAATTCCCCAGAGTAACATTGTTTAAAACTTTAAAAAGCAACATTTCTGGATAGAAAGGTTTTCATTTGCAATGGTGAATTTCAAGTACTAGAAGTACAGAACCTCAAAGGAGAAGCTGCTCTTCCCATCATCCCAAGGAATTTGTAGTAGTAGTAGTAGTAGCTATTGAGCAACAGAAACCACAGTGTTCAGCATGAATGGGAAGAGATGATACCAAAAACTGACACCATGTGGTTAAAGTTAAGAGAAGGGGATTTCAAAAACCAGCAAAACCAGGAAGCTACTCAGAAAGACTCCACAGCTGAATGTAGGCACAACAGCTCAGAGTGGAAGCTGTGGAAATCTCATCTAGTATAGTCATAGAAAGGATGATGAGTCCCAAACAAAAACCAAAAAACAAAGGGTGAATGCAATAAATGAGTGAGGTACTGTAATGACTAATGTCATCCAACCTATTCTTTGCAAAATAGACATAATCTCCAGCAAAGTTAACCAAAAGGAACACAAAAATAGCTATAAAAATTCACACTGGAATTGACAAAAGCTAAGTGGTAATTTGAAAAGTAAACAGAGAAAGGCATAAAATCAGCTGCTAAAACATTCATGTATGTAAAAGATCGTCAAGAAAACTGGTCTTTGTTGGACCAAATGAAATAAAACAAGTTATTGAAGTGGATAAAGATGTTCTTGATGGCTACATTTACTTCTTGGTATCAGGCTTAATCCTAGATGATTTCGAGTGAAATACACCTCTGGTTTGTTTTTCCATGTACTAAACGAGAGGGCAGAATAAGACAATAACAGATTTATTCTACCTTATGAGATTCAGCAGACAGGAGTTGAACAGTAGGAGTTGTATTCTAGTTTCTATTAAATGTTAACTTATGTTTTCCGGTTAGAAGATAAAAAAAAATATAAAAATCAGGAGATAGAAAAAGCATGATTTGCTAAGAGATTTTTTAAAAGTAACGTAATGTATACATCAAGATATATTCTTTCTACACACCTTTTCCTGCTTTTGGCTGGCCAGCAGCAGCATGCATCACTTGGCTTTCTGGAGTATTCTGCAGCATGTGGTAGACAGTCTCGTCTGCATAAAAATCTGCTGCACTGTTCTTCAAGAATTAAGACAACGCAGAGTTACTAACAGAGTACACTCTCTGAGGAAAAAGGAACTTGTAGTAATTAATTTCTTCAAGTCTTCAAAATACAGCCTTACACCACCTCACCCATGGAAGACTTTTCTCAGCCACGAAAGTATGCAGTGTACTGTCCCAGTAACAAGCAGCACTAATTTATGTCGAGTGGGAAGGACTGCCCACCCAAGGAGAAAATAAGAGGGAAAACAGAGTAATTGCCTTACTCTGGACCTTTAACCCTTCCGCTGGAAGCAGAAGTGGACTCCATTTCCAGGACAAGGGCTGCCTGGGACTGGCCCCGACAGACTCTGTAGTGGCTGTCGCTGCTTATCTGCTGGTGGAAAATGGGCTATTTGTCTGAAATCATCTCCCATGCAATATTAATTTTCCACCACTGCTGAAGGCCACACTCCCAGTGGTTTTTAGGAATTAATATGAGCTCTGCTGGCTGAGCTCAGAATCCAAATAATGCCAGTCTTTCCAGCACCCTTAAAGCAAACTGCTACTGAAGAAATCAAAGGTGCAGTACTTTCTCATAGCAGCAGGAAGTACATGGAAATTGGAAATCATTGTTCTCTGCATGCTCCCAGGTAATAGAGAGAAACCCTTTTCTCTATTGTACTAGAAGACTGGTTTGTTAGTTTTGTGATAAACCACAGAAGATCATCAGAGGCAAACAGCTAATATGGCCCCTTAAAAAGAGACTACTAAACATGTTTTACAAACATTTCCCAAGGCAGTTTCATCTGAATCATGCCTGGTCAGACCAAATTTCTTAGCATATGAATTTCGTAGCATAAAGATTTGTATTAGAAATCATGAATGGGCAGCCAATATTCCATTTATGGTCAACTCTCTTCTTAATAACCTGTTCACTTACAATAACATTTCTCCAGCTATACCCTTGGTCCTCTGTAGATGGTGTTGCAGAGTAGCTGGGACTTGATCGGAGGGTGTGGTGATGGTTGATCACAGTCAAGCAGTTTTTATAACCTGAGAATTGGGAGGATGGAGCAAAAATTGCATGAATAAAAGGGGGAGAAGGAAAAAACTACAATGGCAAACAATTTAACATTCTACTGAGTCTGTCAAAAAACATTTATTTTATGGCTTCCTTCTAGGTAATAAAGTCTCTAGAGCCAAGATGCATCAGGTCAGCAAGTTATCCAACGTAATCTGTACTGTTACCACTTTTGAGCTGGTTTTGTTTGCCTTCATGATGGAAAGCAATATTTGTTAAGATAAAATTAACATGAAATAGTTTGGTTAACAGAAAAAGGAGGGCCAAACAGATTACCAAACATAATGAATGGGATAACTGCAAACTACTATAATACACATACGAGGAAAGAAGAGGAAATGTCACACAGTTCTGCAGGCTATTAGTACTATGCAAGTCAAAGTCTCCAATGGAGAATGAAGTGAAGGAGCATCAGAGCATCTGCATTGCCTGAAAGAATGACATGGAAGGAACTCAAGACTTTAGGATGTTTAAAAGAAGCAGAGGAGAACACCAGACTAAGGCACTTGGAATAAGTGACATGCTGCAGGTGGTCAGAAGAAGAATTTGGAGGCTACGTCTCTTGCAAGGAGAAATGTGGGTGCAGTTGTGGAATACACTAAACACTGAGTTGCAAGTTTTTAATACCTCTCTTCATTGGCCCTAACAGTAGATACAGGAAAGAACATTGCAAGTAATTATATACAGTGGGTCCTTCAGCAGAAGAGCCAGAAATATACTAACAACAGCTGAAGATATGGCCCAATTGGTCTTATTTACATTTCAGTACATAATAGATAATATGTAAATAAACTTCTTCCTATGAAATGCATTCCACACAGCAGATATTTTGTTCTGGACTTAGAGGATTTGTGATGTAGCCTCATAGTTTCCTTTTCTTCCACTTCTATTTACAATGTAAAAGTACCAAACAGAGATTTTAAATTTTGCAGCAATTTAATTGCCAAAATCTTTCCTGAAATGAAACAATTTACAGCTTGTCTGTATTTTAAGTTTTGTACAGTATAGAACTCTCAAAGCCCAGAAAAACACTTTCCTATTAATTAGCTAGACTCAAACTATCATTTCTGCATAACAGTATAGAAAATTTCTATTTTAATGTAAAAAAAAGCGATTGTGGAATTTAATTTCACCTCTCAGATTCTTGGCCCTTTCTTTTTTCCCTGGAATTTGTTGTTATATGAGTTTATTCACAACATAACAGATTAAAACTGGAAAATGGCTGTTGCACTGCAATCATATATCCTCTGATTATAGGAAATCCGAGCTCAGTGAACCTAGGCTACTACTTAGGCGAAGGTAGAGGGGAACTGTCCAACATTTTCCCTGGGCTGTGACATGGAAGATGCACACCACGATGAGCCGTACTAATGGAGGAGTGGAAACCCTTCAAATATTCTTCCCCCTTCCCATTCTTCCAACATACCACCTACATGAGAGAAATTACTCTCCCACCTACATGGTTCAGGATGTACTGTAAAAATACAAGGTGCTAAATGAAAGGGAATAATGGTCTTTTATTTTACCTGGTGAATACTGCATTTCTCTGTCAGAGTGCTGCTGCAGGACTTCTAGTGCATCTTCAAAAGCCTGGCCCAGTACGTCTTGGTCAGGAAAACTCTGCAAGAACATTTTTTGTGAGGAGACAGAAAAGATGAGGCTGGTTCTTTCAACATTATCAGTCGGAAAGTCAAAAATAAATACACTGGTTGTATGGAATATACATCCTCCTGGAATACGTATTTTGCAAGCACTGAGGTATTACCATCATCGTTTGCTATTATGAGAAAGTTCTCAGTCCTTTGAGAAGTCTCTCTGAGGTCAGTGGGACAACTCAAACAGGCAACATCAGTCACTCATGTGAATGTTTCAAGGTTCATTTCCTTAATCTGTAGAAGTTTACAAAAAGGGTGTTACTGCTATTGGAGTGTTTTATAGTACGTAATACAAAGGCACATATCACTTGTGTAACATGATTTATAAAGTCAAAGTTATCATTCAATAACGTTGACATGACAAAATTTACTACACACAAGTGATGAAGTGGTTATGCAGAGAAAATCCTATACTACGCCAGTATAGGAAACCAACTATGGATTTTCAGAAAACTGTCTATTATAATTTTAGAACATCTTGTTCTAAAAAGCTAAGAAATCCCCTCAAATCTGAGTTTGTCTCAGAGTTTTCTGTAGCATATTTGAAGAACTCAGTAATGACAGAGAATAAAGGTAGTGTAGACTTACCATTATTTAGCTATCCAAACTTGAATCCTGATTAAAATAAACAATATTTTTTAAATTGTATACTTCAAAATAAACAATAATTCTCTCAGTATAAGTAAAAATAACAAAAGGAAACAACTCCAGTGATGAAATAACATATACTTAATAACACAGATTAAAATAATTTAGGATTAGGAAGTTGCCTTTTAATGAAATTAAAAACTTGCAACATTGTATTTTTTAAAATTAATACTACTTCAGTTTCATTAATACTGTAACTTTGAGATTATTATGCACATCATTGTAAACAGATTTTTAAGATGTTTTGAAATGAAAGCATTTTATTGCTGACGTTCAGTCTTAGCACAACTTCTAATTTTCCAAAGAAAATACTGACCTGAATTAAATACAAGTGTTTAAGTCCCTTTGGTTTGCAGACACAGATGAAACAAGCTTTTTTTTTTCCCATAATGCAAATTAGCATAGGACTGTATTTGAAACTCTCAGACTAATTGTGAGTTCCAGAAGCAAATTGTTTAATAAACAGTGAAAATAGACATCGTTTCAGCCAATGTAACACGAATTACAGTTTACATACAACGTAACTCAGAAACAATTTCTTAGTACCTCTTTCCCATTTATATTTGTTATAGATTACAATAATCACATTTTGCTGCCTTGCTATTTTTTCTTGTTCTTATTTACATTTTTATTTAAAAATTGTAAATATTATATTCACTGTATTTTATTCACTAAATGTTTGATTATGATCTCTTGAAAATACTGGACATTTTGGCAGTGATTTCAGTAGACACAAGATTGACCTACACAAAAAAGAGACAAGACACATAAATACAAATGAGAAGGAATTTTATCCAAGACTAACCATGAATATTCCAGCCTGGTAATTATGCCTTAGATGTTATAAAGTACCATCAAAATTTGTAAAATATTTGTAAATCTTAATTACCAAGTATGTACAATGAAATTCTGGCTATTCTGTAAACTGACTCCATTGAAGTCAATGGACTTTTTTTTTTTACTTCAGTGTGGCAAGTATTTTGATAAACTGATCTAATTTTATCCTAAAACCAGAATGAGCCACAGCAGTCCTTTAGCTGCAATGGTGGCCATGGACTCTTGGGGTATAGAGCTGTAGAAATTAAAGACATGAGTCTCCTTTGAAAAAGATTCTTGCATAGTATTTCCCAAATTTTAATTAATTAACTTTCCTTAACTTGCATTTGTCTAACTCAAACTCCAAACTGATTCTTGGTAACCTTGACAGAACATCTACAGTCACTGTTGACGCATTTCAAAGACTAAAATGTAAAAGTATCAGCGAGGTACTGTTGAATGGTCATATCATTTACAAGGCCGAATTCACACTAAAAAAGGAAAAGTCACAACTTTTAAAAAAAGCCTAGGTACTTACCTAGAATTTCAGACTCACACGCAAGACAAGAATCTGTCTGGCTTCATAAATGAAAGACTGAGTTCCCACAGCAATGGGCTGGCAAAGGGACTGCATTAAATAGTTGATTTTAGGGAAGTGTTTTGGTTAGGGATTTTTTGGAGAGTAAAGGTATAGTAAACTGCTAGCATGGCCCTCCATTCTGCAGAAAAGAAGGGTGATTTGTACTGACACAGAATAAAATTAAATATTTAAACTACTGTCCAAAGCATGCCATTTCCGAGCGCTGGAAGAGATGCCTTTTGGCTATGGCACATCCTAGCAAATCTGTTGCTGGTACTGTATGTCTAGGATGAAAACCTACATCCCTCGTCTGTCTCATATAGGCTGCAGCAGACTTTGAGTTTTTATCTGAACCTCCTGCTTAGCTCAGTGTAAGAAGCAGACCAAATTAGACCTCAAAAGAAGAGTTTGAGGGAAGTTCCAAACTCTGCCTCAAAGGTTGTGTCTGCAGCACAGGCCCAGCTCTAAAACATTTACTTTAATACTCAGTAAAGTTTCAGACAAGCTGTAATTGCTGATTTGCCACACACTTTCTGAGCAGCTACATGTCGCAAAGTTGTATGTTACAAAATGATGAGTCTATGCTTTTCAGTACAAAACATCTCCTTTTTGACATAATCGAGCCTGTGCTATAGCTCTTTGTAGCTAAGTATTTCAGATACACATTTTACAAAATTTCCTCAGCATTTACCATGAAACTCCTGTAAAATAGTAATTACCTCTTGTAATATTTATCTATACTCCCTCAACCAAGAACCATAATCAAGAACTAGCCTGGCTATAAGAGCTGAGTGGAAGCACTTTGAAGCCAATATTAGCATCAACTTTTTCCTGCTGTTTCAGATGCAAGCTGCCTTTTCAAAATTTGCACCACAAAGTTTCTTTTTTAAAAAAAATTGAAACATATTAATACATGTTTGTGGCTTTTTGAACTACAAATGCCATTTTATAACAACTCTCTGGTGTGACTTGGCCTTATAAAGGAAAATTAACCACCACCTGTACTCTTAAAACATCAAACTGTGACTCAGCACAGGATTTCAGGCCAAAATACAATCACACAATTAACTTCCTTTCTATATACAGTTAACTTTACTTTGCAACCTGGAAAAGCATAGATTTCATGGTTCAGTTCTTTCCCAGACTAGAAGTATGTATTGGATTTAAAATTATGAATGAGCTTCAAGATCCTTCTTCCTGGGTTCCTTCCTGATAAATGATGTCCTGATAGGCGTTCTGATGGTGCAGCCTGACCTGTCTGCTCCTACATCTCTTCCTGAAGCTGAACAGTTACTCTTCAGGTCGACTGTGATTCCCACTCATCCTGGTTATGAAACTGCAGGGGTGGCCCCCGTGGAGGAGGTCAGGACTGTCCTTTACTGGTCATACCCAATTCCAGCTGGCCCTGAAATGGATCCATGATGTGCCAAAGAAGAGTCCATTAGTCACGTGCATGAGGCTGCTGTGAAAAAGTACTGAGGAAAGGGCAGAAAATGCCAAAGGAGAGGAGGTAAACCCGGGAGGGAACACCACTGGGGACAAGAACGGAACAAGAGAGCAAGGTGACTAGGGTAGAAGTAGGAATGAGGGGAAAGCAAGGTCAGAGGAGTTGGAGGTTCTCCATGACTGTGCAGGCCCACCATCAAAGGGACTGTGTCCTGCAGAGGGACCACACTGGAGCAGAAGTAATGAGTTAGAAGGAAACAGTAGCAGCAAGAAAAGGATAAGAAACAAAGAGAGGCAAAGAGAAATCACTGTATCCTGACCCCAACCCCTGTGCCACTCATTGCCTCACTGAAGCAACTGAGAATAACCTGTGGCAATAACAAGCGGGGAGGAGATATGTCTGGAGTGCAGCTGAGCCTGGGAAAGGGGAAGGAAAGATGTTTTAATGTTTGTCTTCTTTGGTTCCCAATACTCGAATCAGCAGCTAAATATATTAAGGCAATAAATTAAGTTGAATTCCCAATGTGCAGGAGCAGCTGTATGGGTGTGTGGCTGCTGGCCAGGGCCAACACACCCCAGTTATAAAAAAGGGCGAAGGTTGAGAGATTAAAGCTAATGCTTTTAACGCCACTAAAATTATCAATCTTCCTAAATCAAATTGCTTGATCAGAATGTTCTCATTTCAAATAAGCGGCTACATCATGAGGCAGGGTGGCAAAAGGGTTGTTTTCAGAGGAAATGGGAAGGTGCCATATGTAGCACAAACACACAGCATACAAACAAGAGTAGATGCTGTCTTAGAGGGTAGATTTAAATTCTGTAACCTATTTGTACATTGAATCTTTGGTTCATCACAAGCTCAGAGCACGGGTTCAGGCTACCTCCGCGGGAAGCTTGTGAGGGATCAGAAGAGGCAGAGTCAAGTGCAGCTCAGAACTGAGGATGAGCTAGTACTGACTGCTCATTCCTCAAATCACAGTACAGTCAAGCAAGGCAGACTTTACCAATAATCGTTATTACAGCAGAAAGATTTCTTTGATTTTTGCATGGGATGGGAAGATGGATTCCAAGTACGAGCCTGAGAAAGAGAACTTAATATTCACATTTTAATGTCTCAGACATGTGCCTGATACCAGAATTTGAATATCAGTTAGAAACCACAACATCAAACTCTTCTCCTTCCTCCATGTTTTAAAAATAAAATTCTCAGAATTTTTTGCATATCAGGGAATTTGTAACTGCATGAATAGTATAGATAGACCACTCACGAACAAAGGCACTTTGTAGAAAAAACCAACTTGTTGTAGAAATGATTCTGTCATGGGGAGTCACTTGCCCATGTGTAAGACTTCCTGGGAGCTCAACAATCTCCAGAAATCAGAAAACTGGTGAATGTGACAGCCATAGAGGGCTTCTGTGGTTGCATACTTGTTCTGGCCATTGGCAGACCCTTTTGCGAGCCCTCTGCTGGCCATGCAGCTCTGTAATAATCTTTGTCATGAATCCTTACGGGTGCAGGTTCACAACAATTCCCCAACTACAAATGCTGTCTCCTTGAAAGTGGAAGGATTGAGAGATTACATGCCTGTTCTCATCTCCTGAGTCTAACACTGTTGACCAGCCAACTTTCAAATCTCTGCCATCATGCTGCTTCTGGTCCACTCCATTAAAAGTTAAATAGGAACAGAGGAGATTCTTGCAAAAAGAATGCAGTCTTTTTTCTCTACACAGCAAGAACAGCAGGGATCAACACACTGAGAGCTCCCTTATATGCAGCATGCACTGATAATCCAGGAGTGAGTATTTCACAGTGAATCAGTTTGAAATCTGAACTTCAAATTACTAGGCTTGAAAAAATGCCTAAATTTGCATTCCCAGCTCTGGAACACAAAGCAAATTCTCCTTTAAAAACCTCAAGGCACTAAAACCAAAAAGGAAATAAATGTTGTTCAGTACCAGCTTAAGTACTATTGTTTACCATGATTTTGGTCAGATAATTTAGTGTGGAATATATGCAGAAAAAAAAAACAACATAAAAAACAAAACCACAATCATGGCATCATGTCATATAAGCAAGTCAAATGATGAAACTCAGTCTAATGATTCCATTTATTTTGGGAGACTTTGGCCTGGGCATTTCTGCAAACACAATTATTTATTCAAATACTAGAAGATGAATATACATATTAAATTCAAACTCTTTACACTCCTTAAAATCATTCTACAAATGGAAAACTCTCTGCAATGCAAAACACAGATGTTTATTGTCATTGGTGGAGTTGTAGTATTGGTTCCTTAGATGGTGGAAATTGGTATAGAGCCACCAACCCCAAAGAATCACTGATGATTTTTACAAACAGAGGTTCTGGCTTATAGATGAGATTAGTATTAGTTTTAACAGAGTAAGGGAAAAATTGCTGTGCCAGCACTAATGCTGCACATTCTTCCCTGATTTCCTGATTTGTTTTAATTTGGCTACCTTGTAAATCATTAACAGTTAGTTAAATAGAAAGAGTGGCATTTTTGCATTTAAACCCTTGGAAGAACCCTTTATAGTTACTTTGAGGGCAGTATGTTTTTAAAAGAGCTTTGTCCAACCATTATGTTCAAATACTTCTTATATATGAAGCTTTTTCTCCTCTTAAGGAAGAAAAAAGATACTGAAAATGTCAGAATAATTTCTTTACCCTTGAATATGAAATCTTTTCATATTACATTGGTCTTCCTATCTCAGAATCATGATTTAAACTCTAACACTGTTTTAAAATATTTTGCTTTTAAAATGCTTTAATCCTTTTAGAGTTGTTAATTTTCCAGACTTTAGAAGTCCAAAGAAAAAATGTCTTACTATTTCTTAAGAAAACACTCTCCTCTTTTAGACTACTTTAGAATTACATATGATTTTCTTAATGTAGAGGATATAAAAGGGACCACTAATATGTTTGAATCTTGATGTTTTTCTGCTTTAAAAACTTATGATCCAGCCTTAAAAGACATATCTACTTGGCTAATTTTACATCTGTAACATATTCCACCATTGAATAATTACAATCATAAAAATAACCTTTTGGATAAATCATTGCAGAGGTTAGATCTAAACATGGATTTACCTCTTCTGGGACCTAAAAAGAGAAGTGCAGCATGAAGGCTGCAGTTGTGTGAGTGGGCAGAGAGCTCTTTGGTGGAAAATTCACATCCAAATCCCCTACTTTACAATCAGACCCAATCTATCGGTCCAGTTGTCTGTGTCAGCAGCGTTTCTCAGGAAGCTTCTTCTTTGGCTCCATATAACCAAAGGAAGTGACTTTCTGCTGGGAAGCCCCATGAAGACAGAAAATCAGAAACCACAAGAGAAGCACGAGGAACTAATAACAAAAAGTTTATTGGGAAAAAAAACCCCAAACCCACACAACACAACTAACCCTAACTAAAAGAAGAATTTAAAGTGAAATATGAAATAATTATTTTTGTTCATGTACAGATACAACAAGTACTCTACTAAATACTAAGGTAGCTAAACCATCCATAAATCAATAATACTTCAGTGAAAATCTACCAGAGCAAGATGGCAATAATAATGAGAG